CGGCGACCGCGGCCCCGGGCCCCGCCCGGACGACCGTCCCGGGGCTGCCGGAGCCGAGCTTACCTCGCCCGCAGGCCCCGGCCGCGCGGCGCACACTGACGGCCATCAGCCGCCTTCCGGTCTCCCGGCAGACCCCGCTCCGCCACCGCCGGAAGCGGGCTCCCATGCACCGGGGTCCGGCCCTCCACCAATCACATTCGGCGCCAGGTGATTGACACGCGCGATGCCCAACTCGACCTGGCCCCGCCTCTAGCCCGGGAGTTTTGCTGAAAATGGATGAAGGAATCAAGGTGGGTCTTGAGGTGTAGTGTCGGGTTTGTTTTATTGGCCCTTTTTTGGGCATGGGGCGTTACAGAAAAATGGTGGAGGTAGAACGCTGCCCAATCAGCAAGCAGGTTGCTGGCAAAACACCTGTCAGAACTGGCGCGGGACATCAGAGCGCAGGTGCAGGGCCCTGAGGACGGCTCTGTGCAGCCCGAATATACCCGTGTCCTGCCTTGGGTCCAACACTTAGGTCGCCGGCCCGACCCCTCCCCTGGTTACCAAACTCAGGTCCCGCTGCCCGCCCCTTTAAAAAAAAGAAGAAGAAGAAAAAAAAAGACTCCAAGGTCAAATGGTTGGTGTTAGAAAAGCAGGTGTATTCAGCTGAAGGAGATGGCAGGCTGTCCCATCTCCAAGACTGACATTTCCTGAGGGGTTTCTGAAGGGGACGTGAGGGAATGGAACGAGGGAGGATGGAAAGCAGAAGGGAGGGGCACGTGAGCAGCGAGGGCTTCATGCAGGGTCTCAGGTGCCAGGTCTCGTCAAGGTTCCGTCTGGTTTCTGCTCCCGTCTTTACCTCAGGGTCTGGGTGGTACCTCCAACTCTACAGGTTCAAGCTGGGTGAGCTGTGAGTCAGGCACAAGGTCTCGCCAAGGCTTCTGCTTTCTGTTCTCATCTTCGCTGTTACCTCAGGACCCTGCACGGTTTTGATCTGCTCCAGTGCAGAATCATCTTCTGCAGTCTTTTGTGTGGTTTTGCTTCTCAGAGCTCTGGCTGACTTGGCTGGTGCCCAAGGTCAGCTTCCAGTCATCTGGCCTTGATGTCTCCTCAAAACTCTGAGTCTCAAGGAAAGAACATTAGTTTTGCAAAGTACTGATTAGCTTCTCAGCCTTGTTTTCCTATTTAGCAAGCAAGATAAGAAAGGCAGAGAGTGGGAAGAAAGAGTGGAGAGGGGGGAAAAAAACTGTTCTTTTTGAAATTCTCCCGTCCCCACCCCCACCCTTTGCAGCCCAGGAGGTTTTAGGTCCCAACATGGCTTCAGTCGTGCTCATTCCAATGCCAGATGTTCTTCAGGACCTTGGATTGGCTTCATCCCACCCAAGCCAGTTCAAACTGACTGTGCCCACAGACCTCTCTTCTGGGCCTGTGTGAGTGTCTGATAGGTGGCCTTTTAACTTCAGAGGGCTACAAACTCCACCTCCAGATCATGCTAACGCCACCAGATTTTGAATGTGAGACCCATGAAGAGGCATGCAGATAGTTTGTGCTTGTGCAGATCACTGAAGAACTTCCTCAAATTCCTTGTCCAAGCATTGCCCTACACAACCCACATCACCCCTAACCCTTTCACCATAAAAATCCCTGCTACCCTACTTTCAGGGAGGCAGATTTGAGATTTATTCTCCTGTCTCCTAGCTAGGCTGCCTTGTGAATAAAACTTCTTTCCACTACAAAGACTGGTGTCTCAGTGTCTGGTTTGCTGCGTATCTGGCTGCAAGCCTTGTTC